CGTTTTGTCGATCAAAATCCTCATTTCGTTGAACTTCTCACTTGTTCTTGCCATGAGATTTTGCCTGGGTTTTTGCAGATAGGGTCATCTACGAAAGGTCAGAGGAATTGAATAGAAAAGCAGGGATTCGTTTCGCGCTTGACGCACCAACAAATACCTCTTCTCACAGGTTGGGAAGAGTCCATCAAGAGCTGGCACTAGTCCCTAAAACACCAATAACACACACCTCATAATCTGGAAATGTTATAATTGTAAGTCCAAAAACAAGATATCAATATTCAAAGCATAAATTTTGTTTGTCGGACATGAAAGTCCATCCGGGATTGTCCATGACCTCCAAGTCACTAGAGATGAGCTCTAAAAACCATTCCCAATTCTCTTTATTTTCCACAGGTACATGAGCAAAGGCTATTGGAAAGTTCTGGTCATTTGCATCAATACCCACAACTGAAAGCAATTGACCTCCATACTCATGCTTCAAAAAGCAGCCATCTATAACCAAGACATGCCTGCAACCAGCCTTGAAACCCAGTTTTGAAGCCTGGAAACACACATATATCTGATCGAAGTGTTGGTTTCTCTGCTCTATGATCACTGTAGAACCTGGGTTGCTCCTCCTCAATTCCTCGGCATAATGGTATATCCTCGGAATTGCTCTCTAAAACTACCCCTAACCTGATCAAGAGCCACCCTTTGAATCCTGCATGCCTTTGAATCCAATACAGCTTCCTTAAAGTCTTCCTTGCAAATTTGTTTGAGCAACCCCTTGCTCATATTCTTGTCTGCTGCCATCTTCCTAGCAAGTTTCTCACCTAGAAACTTTGCAGTTGCAAACTTCACCTTAAAAGTCCTCCGACAATCTGTAGAATGTTGTAGCTTGCACTTCTTGATCTGGACTGCATCTGTAAGACTCATCTTGGAGGGCCATATATACGCATACTGCTTGCAGCCTCATCTTGTCATTCTTCTTGAAACAAATAGGGCGCTTTTCCACAAAGGCATGTTGTTTTATGTCCTCTTTCAACTCGTCGAAGTTGCCAAATCTTTACGAAACAGCAAAAGTAGGGCTCTCCATGTCTCTCTCAGCTCAAAACTCTTGTGTCTGGTGACTGTCCTCATTTTCATCAGAGCTATAAATTGTCCTTCGATCATCTGAGTCGACATCTGAACCCTCTTCCGCCTCTATGATAGTCTTCTTGCACTTCTCAATTTCGTCTTCTTCGCTGTAGAAATTAGCTTCAACGTCTGCAGCTATGCTTCTCTCAAACTGCAGATTGTCATCTCTGCTAAAGTCCTCCTCCTCTTCACTAGCCTCATAGTCACTTTCATCTTCTTCCTCATAGTCTGCATCATCACCCGGGTCACGAACGTCAGCTTCTTTAGCCTTTTTACCCTTGGTGGCGCTCCATCTTCTTCCTCATCACTGTCCATGATCTCAGCAATGTCTTCCTCGGAGATGGCATATAGTTCGATGACCCTCGCTTGTTCATTTGCACTTGTTGACATGAAGAGTATATCTTCATCTGAAGTGATCTCTGACATAGCATCAGTTGAAGGAGAGCTCCAGAAGAACTTCGGTTATCAATCTTCCCTCCACATGCCTTGTTTATGTCAGGCAGATCAAGTGTTAATAACTCATCAATATTCGCATAGTCCCAGTAGACTGTAGACTTCTCATTGAGGAAATGCTTGTCACCCTTCCTCTTCAATGCTTCTGATAAGTGCACTTCAAATGTAAGCTCTCCACTAGAAGCACCTGTTACAAAGGAAAGAGAGAATGAGTGATTAAAACTTAAAAGTGACCAAAGCAGTAATGAGGCAGAGAGTCTTACTTTTTAATCCAACAACTTGTATTAAAAGCATAAAAATGACATGTCAACCACTTCAATGCTGCTGGTTTTGGTATTTCCCACAAGAACCCTAATTTTCAATTCGAAAAAAACAACCGAGAGTTGTCCTTTACTCCAATAAATGCCAGCTGTGAAAGTGACCGAACTTGGACTGTTCAACTAATTTAAGTAACTATAAATGGAATAAATTAATTTGAGTGGCAAACGTGAAATTTTGTAGCAATTCGAGTGACCAAACTTGCAATTAAGCCCTTTATTTTAATTTAACTTGATTTATTCCGTATATATGCAAAAAATAATTATATTGTTTACATATATATATATATATATATATATAGATATATAAGTTATATAAAATCTTATATAATATATAAGTAATAACACCATATACTAATACACCAAAATAATAGTTTATACTTGAATCCAACATATAAAGTAACAATTAAAGACACTTAAATCCACCATATAAGTTTGTGATTGTCACCTTAAATGAATTGGAACAACATGACGAATATAGATAGAAACTCACGATTAGAAGAGATTGAAACCCATCATCTGTGCTTTTACTTCAAAGATTCTAAATTCCAAGATTATGATATGCTTATATCGAATAATCAAACATTAAAATTTAAAAATTATTTATACAGAAGCACAAAATATCCTAATTACTGTATGGGACAAAAAGGGGTTTGCTCCAAACTGAGCAAACTGCAGAAAGGAAGGTTCTTTATCTAATTTCTTGACTAGTGGAGTAAAGCGACATGTGAATTTTATATAAAGTGGTGGCAGTGTGAGATTTGTACTTGTGAAAGCCAAACAAATTGTTCTTCCCGAATGAAAGTTCGTTAACCAATTTTTTCCAATTTTGACCGAATTCAAGTGGATTTGACGAAGTCCAAAACGGATGCGTGGGGCTTGTTTTTTTTCTTCTTCCATCAGATCTGGGTCGACCCCTGGGTTAGCAACCTTGCACTACACTTTTCCAGTGTAAGGAATTATGTTTAAGCTAAATTTCTTCCAAAATTGTCTCTATTTAGGAGGATCCTTTCACTTATTTTAAATTGGTGCATCTTTAATTGGTGTTCCACTATAATAAATAGGATAATAGATTTTTATCCACCACCCCCTATGTGTAAATTTTGGGCCAACAACCATCTAAAAAACACACTAACTCTCTTATTGTTTTAAGATAGATTTAGAAAAATATGTTTTATGATTAATTTGAGAATATTCCATGATAAATAAACATAATAATCTTACACTAATACAATTTATCAATAGTAGTCCCAATTTTTCCAGTGTTTTAGTTTTATGGAGGTCTATTTCATGAATTCTCAAGAAACAAATTTAAAACATTTGATTGTTATTAAATAGTTAATTATATAATTTAACCTGATAGATAGATTAAGTATAGTCTCCATGATATATATTATAGTCTAGATAAAATATTTATTTATTAGCTATATCAATTTTATGTATGTAGCTAATTGTAAAAGGGAGTTAATATTTTACGCCCTAAATTTTTAAATTCGTCGCCCTAAACCTACCCAAATAGAGGATTATACCCTCTACTTAAACTAAACCCTAATAACCACCCGACCAATTCAATTCCCCGCCCTTCCCCTGTCTTTGCCCCCTTCCCATAAACACAACCCGCCGCCGCCCGCAAATCCAAAAACTATCGGCGACCCTGCAGCGACAAGAATTACATCGACAATGAGGTGAGCGACGTGGGTCGGGTCTTCTTCGTTCTTCCTGCCCCACCAGACCGTCGCCGGTCGTGTTGCCCTCGAACAAAAAAAATGACTTGTTGTGTCGCCTCCACCAGAAGCTGATTCCGTTGCCGGCATACCCATAAAACCACATAATTATTTATGAAGTTAAACGGTCCCCAACCACTCAGCAAAAGTACTGGCCCCTCATCTAATCCCTTAGGCGAGCGGTCGTCGGATGTGGCGACCCGCGCGGAATCCCTTGGGCGAGCGGCCACCAGCCAGCAGAAGGCCTGCGGCAGCGGCAGGCGTAGACTCCCTAGGATGAACGGCGGCGACGGCCGAAGACTCTTAGGGCGAATGGCAGTTAGGGATTGGGAATAAGTTGGGGCAAAAACGTCACATTGGTTGATTTTAGGGCGTTAAATAGGAATTCAGTTGTAAAAAGGATTAGGCTCATAAGCTATATAATTTCAACTTCGTAACTAAATGTCACGTGCAGTTACAAACATTTGTTTGGTGGCTGAAACTAGTTTCTTCAAATCACAGTAGTCATGAATATTTGTCTTTTGTGGCTAAATCTCAATAATTTGCTACGGTATTTATGCATAGCAAAAACGTTGTGGCAAAAAGTAAACTAATAGCTACGTCCCAAACCATTCAAATCAACATAGTAGAATTAGCTACAAGAGGTAACATTTGTGACTGGAAAATTTCATAATAGCTGCAATAATGAAAATTCATTGCTAATAGTTAGCGTTAGCTAAGATTTTATTAATCATGGCAATGATTTTGTGGCTATATGTGACTATTCTTGCAGTGACGAGACAAGTCTAAGTCATAGAACTTCTTTAAATATTCCATCATCCAACGAATATTTACCCAATCCTTCGGTCCAGGTGGACCAACAATGTTCTCACGATGCACGATTTTGTTTAACTCGGTTTCTAATGGAGGTAACATTCATGCATACCCGCTTTCTAGAACCTTACCCAACAGATGGTTCTTCATTAACCACAACATTACTTGCTTGTTGAGTTTGAGGTATTTCGACGACGATTACATGCTCTTGACTAGCCATCAAAAATCAAATAACCTAGAAATAGACATCACTACGAGATCAAACAACAAGAATTTAACTACTGAAGTAGGAGCAAGATTGAGCAGCACATGTATCGAAGCGAGCAAATTATTCAGCAGTAGTTCCGATGTCCAAAAATCCCTAATTACTCGGCAGCAGCTGCGAGGAATTGAAAGAGAAGGAAATTAGCATGCAAGGAGGTGTTGGTTTGTTATTTGGGAATGGAGAAGGAGCTCGAGAAAATCAAATAACATATTACATGTATGTATCTCCTCCGTTGTCTATGAGAGGATTTCGTCTTGTCTTCTTCCAAGGGAGAGTCGGAGGAGAGTAACAGTGTCGGGGTCGGCGCGGAGTGGGAAGGTCGGGGTTGGGGCTGTCGGGGTCAGACAGTCGGGGGAGAGGAGTTGCCGTCTTGCCGAGTCGACCGTCCGGCTGATTTTGATATAGGTCTGCGTGACTGCGTCTTGTCACAATATAGTGATACATACAAAAAAGAAACACTATAACACAAATCACTACCAATCACATCAAATACATATGCACTAGCACTGTAATGAGAAACTTTCCCTAGGTTGAATATACCAAAATGGGCTTCTCCTTTCAAACTCAACAGACCATTCTTTATAATTAAGAAAGGAGAAAAGAATTAAAGATTGAACATATATGGAAATCCTGATAACCTCTCTTTGTTGGTCTCTCTCTGGATATTCTTGCCCTCTCCGTCTGCGGTGCCACTGTCAGATTCGCTCATCCCATCTCTATGGCTCACTCCATTACGGTGAACCCGACGATGACGTCAAAACAAATCCAACGACTTCATCAGATTCGGCCAAACACGTCTCGCGAGGACTTCCATAATCAGATTCGGCTCGTCGAGTCTCTTTAATTTGTCTCGTTCTATTTTTGCTGTAAACCTCACGACGATGCCACAAGCGATGGCGGCGGCTATGCCCTGCAGTGGTGCTCACACACGCTCTGCCCCCTGGGATTAATTCCCTAAATACAGATAAAACTAAAACAAATTTCTAAACTACCACACTTTTAAAAAAATTTCCCAAAATACCTAAGTTTGGAGTGGTTCGAGTTTGAGGAACTCGAACTACTAACCGGTTCGAGTTTAGGAGACTCGATCTAGTCGTAAATCGATGATATAAGCCTCGAACCATGTGGAGCTGAACTCGAACCACTCCTTTGAAATTTCCAACAACCTTAACTTTGTGCTCGGTTATCCGATCGTAGCAAACTTTATTTTCATTTCGCATAACTTTTTGAGGACTACAACTTTTATAATAGAAATATTTTCAGAATATATGTGAAAATGTGAAAAGTAAAGTTAAATTTACTCCCAAACCACCTTATATTAAAAAATATTACTATTTTGAAAATTTATTCCTAGTAAATGTTGTAGTACTCAAAAAGTTAAGCAAAATAAAAAAAAACTTTGCGACATTCGGATTGCGGAGCACAAAGTTATGATCCTCTAAAGTTTGGCAAAATCGAAAAATTGCTCGTTTAGGGGTAACAAATGACATTTTCTCGGGGCGAAGGCACGGGAAATTTCTTTATATATAGGGAATTTCTGCCAAAAGAGCAATATTTTTCCAAACGAGAAATTTTTGGATGGCTATCTTCCTAGAAAACGTCATTTGCTATCCATAAACGAGCAAATTTTCGAATTTGTCAAACTTTGGAGGATCATAACTTTGTGCTCCGCAATCCGAACGTCACAAAGTTTTTTTTTTGTTTTGCATAATTTTTTGAGTACTACAACATTTACTAGGAATAAATTTTCAAAATAGGAATATTTTTTAATATAAGGTGGTTTGGAAGTACATTTAACTTTATTTTTCACATTTTCACATATATTCTGAAAATATTTCTATTATAAAAGTTGTAGTCCTCAAAAAGTTATGCGAAATGAAAAAAAAAGTTTGCTACGATCGGATAACCGAGCACAAAGTTAAGGTTGTTGGAAATTTCAAAGGAGTGGTTCGAGTTCACTAAACTCGAACCACTTCAGCTCCACATGGTTCGAGGCTTATATCATCGATCTACGGCTAGATCGAGTCTCCTACACTCGAACCGGTTAGTAGTTCGAGTTCCTCAAACTCGAACCACTCCAAACTTAGGTATTTTGGGAATTTTTTTTGAAAGTGTGGTAGTTTAGGAATTTGTTTTAGTTTTATCTGTATTTAGGGAATTAATCCGGCCCCCTGGTGGTGGTGGTGCTTGCCATCGTTTCTCCGGTTTCCATTTCAAATCTACGAGCGGTTTGTGATAGAGAGGGGAGGCAGAGAGTTGCTTACTGTGTGTAGAGGGGTTGGAGAGAGAGGCAGTGGAGAGTCACTTTTATAATTAGGGTTTAGAATCTTTAATAAAATAACTCACATAAATAACCTTTAATTAATTATGACTCTTTGACTACTATTTTAGAGGTCGTTTGCTTGTAGGATTTTAAAAAATGAAGGATTTAGATAAAACCTTGGTTCTATGATTGAAGGATTATGTGGGATTTTGTCAGTTTGGATTTGTGTTGAATTTTAAGAAGTTCTTGTTTGTTTGTTGGATTTCATATTGGACTTTTGTTCTTGGGATTTATTAATTATAGGATGAATTTACAATTGTATCCTTAATGATTTGTGTCATTAAGGTTCCATATAGGAATATTGGAAAGAGATAAAGATAGACTTGTCATTTACCATCATGGATTTTAGCCTCCCACAAAATCTCAACCAAATGGGTAAGATTTTATAATCCGTGGTCCCCACGGATTTTGACCCCAAAATAATCCCACATGCGTGGGGTTCACAGACTATAATCCAACATCACTTTAACAACAAACATGAACTTTGTGCATAATTCCATGGATGTGGGATTTTGATCCAAAATCCTTGATGAAAATCCTACAAGCAAACGACCTCTTAATCTAACGGTTGGAAAGACAGTTAGCATGGTGCTTACTCTCTATGGGATTAGCATTCAATCTCATTCCCTATGCGATAAAATAGGGATCGGATAGGGTACTAACAATACTTACAGGGATATTTTAGTAATTCTTCTTATTCCCCTTCCGTCCCACATATCTCTCTTTGAACCGCCCGACCTCCTCTCAATTACTGCGAGCTCCCCAAGCTCTATCTCGATTGTAAGCTGCAAGTTTTTGCAAGTATTGCTCCCTTCTCGGCATCACTTGTCAAACAACGCTACAGAAATAATAACGAACACGGAATTTAACGTGGTATCCCCAACGAGAATCGTTGAGACTAATCCACGGAGAGGACCAACCTCTCGAAGTCAATCGTATTACGTAGAGCCGGAATTGCTTAAGGTTTACAGACGACATAAAGAACATATATATAGCCGCCTACAAACCCTAAGCCTGCGGAAGATTGTAATTAACCTAACTAACGGAATGGTTAATTACAATCTAATACCCAAACTTCTAACAGCATCCCTCAAATTGATGAAGCTTTCGCAACATCAATTTGTAAGCTAGAAACCAGTGACGAGCAGTGGCCACAGCCTTTGTCAACAAATCAGCAGTCTGCTCTTCCGACGTAATGTACGATAACTCCACTTGACCTTCTGAAACCAGTTGTCTGATATAATGCACATGAACTTCAATATGCTTCGTGCGATCATGAAGAACAGGATTGGTTGCAATCCTGATGGCACTCGTATTGTCTCCATATAGTCGCATAGGGAATTTGCATTCCACCCCTAGCTCACCCAATAACCGTCGAAGCCACACCATCTCTGAAGTCACCTCTGACATGGATCGATACTCAGCCTCAGTAGAAGATTTAGACACCCGTTCTTGCTTCTTACACCTCCAGGAAATAAAGGACTGTCCCACCTTTACACACCAACCAGAAGTAGATCGACGAGTATCTAAACAGCCTGCATAATCAGCATAAGCAAATGCTTCGATCATAGGTGCGCCTGAAGCGGGAAAGAAAAGACCCACCTCTTGAGTCCCTCGCAAATACCTTAGGATCCGATTGACTGCGATCAGATGAGTCGTCCTGGGAGCCTGCATGAATTGACTGACCACCTGTACAACATAGCAAATATCAGGACGTGTATGAGTGAGATAAATAAGGCTCCCGACTATACTCCGATAATAAGACCCATCAGGTAATGGATCACCATCTGTCTGCCAAAGCTTAAGATTTTGTTCCATCGGCGTGGCACAAGGTTCACAGTCATCCATATGCGCCGTCTCTAGTAAGTCCACGATATACTTCTGTTGACAAACCATCACACCCCCCGCTGATCGATGAACCTCCAAACCCAGAAAATAAGACAGATCACCTAATTCTTTAAGATTAAACGCCGAATTCAGTGTCTCAGTCAACATCCGAATGCCATCCACATCATCCCCACTGATCACCATATCGTCAACATATATAAGAAGAATAGTAATCCCATGATCCGAGCGACGAGTAAATAGAGAAGGATCATTGCTACTCTGAATAAACCCAATCCTGTGAATCGTATCATGAAGCTTCTCAAACCATGCCCGCGGTTCCTGCTTCAAACCATACAAGGAACGACGCAGACGACAAACCTTCGATTTATCACCCTTGGAGTACCCAGGCGGACATTCCATATAAATAGTTTCCTTCAAATCCCCATGCAGAAACGCATTCTTAACATCTAACTGCTTTAAGGTCCAACCCCGTATAGCCGCCACTGCGAGTAAAGTACGCACTGTCTGCATTTTAGCAATTGGTGCAAAGGTTTCATTGTAATCAATTCCAAATGCCTGCTTGAAACCTTGGGCAACAACCCTAGCACGAAAACGCTCTATGGATCCATCAGGATTCATCTTCACAGTGTAAACCCACCGAGAGCCAATAACGGGGTATTCAGGACGTCTGGTAACCACATCCCACGTATGAGAGGCCTCCAATGCCGCAAACTCAACGTCCATAGCATCATCCCAGCAAGACTGACCATGAGCTTGCTTATAGGATGCTGGGATAGGAACATGTGTAGTAGCAAAAGCCACAAAATCATTATGGCGAGATGGAGGCTGGCCCTTCGTACTACGCAAGGAACGACGCGGCTGAACCGGGGAAGGTGACTGTGACGAGGACAAAGAAGAGCCAGACGAGGACCCCGACTGATCCAAGTCAAAGTCGGTCGACAAATGATGAGACCCAGACGAGGAAGAAGAGTCCGATGCTGGAGAAGAGGTGCTAGTCGAGGGAGAAGGAGGATCCGAGGGAGCTGGGACAGGAGGAAAAACAGTTGGGAACTCGGCCAGGACAGGGAAAAGATCAGTGGCCAACTGTTGCTCCTCTGCCGAAGGAGAGTAGTGCATAAGATGCTCCATAAATACCACATCACAGGAGATACGAATCCGACGATGAACAGCATCATAGCATACATAGCCCTTGTGCTTCTCACTGTAACCAACAAATACACATCTAACCGCTTTAGGAGCAAACTTATCACGTTCCCGACGAGGCAAAAGAACATAGCAGACACAACCAAAAACTCGCAGCCAGTCATAGTTGGGCAGCCGCTGATAAAGAACTTGAAACGGACTCTGATGATTTAAGACAGCAGTCGGATTCCTATTAATCAAGTACACCACCGTATGAATTACCTCGACCCAAAAACTAGTAGGAACATTAGACTGAAAGAGTAGGGCACGAGCTAATTCGAGCACATGACGATGCTTGCGCTCGACAAGTCCATTATGCTGAGAAACACCTGGACAGGACTGCTGTGGCAATATACCCCAATCACGAAACACTTTCTGAAGAGGTCGAGAAGTAAACTCACCACCAGGGTCAGAGCGCAAGATTTTAACCGAACGACCAAACTGTGTCTGAACCATGGCCAAAAATTCCTTAGCCGCAGCAAGTAAACCAGATTTCTGTCTTAAGAAATAAACCCAAGTATAACGGGTG